CTTTTCGAATAGATGTCTCTAAGAGGAGCATGTTATCTACGGTTGTTCTTCCCTTTCGAAAACCGCTTGATAAGGCGATATAATATTTCTTTTCCAAGAAGTAGACTAGGCGGCTGTTTACCATCTTTTCAAACAGTTTGCAAAGGCAACTCGTAAGGGCAATTGGCCGATAGTTGGAGGGATTCCTTTGGATCTTTCCCTGGCTTAGGAATGGGAATGACAACAGCTCTCCTCTATGCACTGGGAAAAATACGCTCCTTCCACACTCTATTGTAAAGAGTGAGAAGGGCAGTCAGTGACTTATAGGACAGATGCTTTAGCATTTCGTAATTTACGCCATCAAAACCCGGAGAAGACCTATGTGTCTGCAATAAAGCTCTCTTTAATTCCAGCCATAGTAAATGCTCTCTATTGTAAGGCTCAGATTTGGAGAGTTGAATGCGATGGGATTTATTTCAGAGTGCTGCTTGATAGAGAGAAATGCAGGTGAATAGTTTCTGCTGGAAGAAACGGCAGCAAATGTCTCACCATAGTATTATTCGCAATTTCTTCTATGGAGCTAATCACTCGGCCATCTTTTTCCAAAAAGGAAAGTGAGGTGTCTTTATATATTCCGCATGCTTTTCGAACTCTTTCCCAAACCCCCGCTTACTAGGCGTAGAGGATGTTATTGACGACACATATGAAATCCAAGAATTCCTTTGGCTCTGCCTTCTTACTTTGCGTGCATTTGCTTTGGCTCTTTTAAAGGCTATGAGGTTTCGCAGAGTAGGATATCTACGAAAAATACCCCATGCTTTTTTCTGTTTTTTCAGTGCTTCATGACAGTCGCGATTCCACCACGGTTTCGAATATTTTAGTATTTTTCCTGATGTTCTAGGAATCGAAAGCATAGCTGCCTGAATAATAGTATTAGTAAAAGCTTCCACAGCGTCATCGATATGCACATCTTCTACCATTTCCTCTGTCAGCTCTGCAGAGGAAGAGAAGAGTTCCCAGTCTGCCCTATCGAGTATGAATCGAGGGGATCTCGACATGGGGTTTGCTCCTCTTCGTGCAAGAGATATAAAAATGGGATAGTGATCGCTGTTGTAAAGATCATTTCCCACACTAAACGTGCAAAATGGCAGCAGAGATGGTGAACAGATGGCAAGGTCGAGAGCAGGGAATGTCCTTGAAGGCTCGTGGAAGTAAGTATTCTGCCCATTATTCAGGAGACAAAGGCTGTGATCTTCGATCATCTGCTCAATTTGTCTTCCTCGGCAATTTGTATCTTTACTACCCCCAGAGCGGACTATGGCCGTTAAAATCTCCTATTATGATGAAAGGCTCAGGCAGCTGCTCTAAAAGATCATTTAAATCTTGCTGATCAATGTGCTCATTAGGAGGCAAATAAAGAGAAACGACTGAAACTACAATATGAAAGTTTACTTGTACAGCGACAACTTGGAGAGAAGTCGTCAAAGGAAAGGAACTTGAGGGATAGTCCAGTGAGGTGAGGAGACATACACCTCCACTGGCACGCTCACCTGCAAGGTTATCCTTCCTGACGAGAGAAAATCTCCGAAGTTTTGCATGTTGATCTGGTTTCAGATTTGTCTCTTGTATTGCGAAGCACACAGGATGATAAGTATTGATCATAGCTTTGATGTCAAGGAAATTTCGGTGGAAACCGCGACAGTTCCATGAGACGAGGGTGGCCATTATGATTGATGTTTGTTCTTCCTGTGTTCCTTTTTAGTTTTGCGCGGGAGCAGATGTTCAGGAATTTCCAATCCATCCTCCACTTCCATACTGTCTGAATCTGCGGATTCAGAAATCGTTTCATTTACAGAACTATTGCTGGGACTTCTATTTTTGTTAATTGGTTTTGGAGGGATATGTTTTGGTGTGCTTTGAATAACTATTTCTTTATTTTGTACGACATGTGTTGTATTTTCCTTTTTCTTGTTTGCAGATTGCTGGGTTTTATTTGGTGGAGTCTGTGTACTTATGGAAGTTTGGGTGGCTATAGTGCGTGTTGATTTAACGGCGCTGGCATATGATTTGTTTGATTGAGGCTGTGTGCTTTTGAACTTGTCTCCTGGCTTCGGCATATGAAATGTTCCTAGAAAACTTTTATGGTCTGAACTTCCTTTTCTAATTTCCATTTTGGACAGGAGCGAGGAAAATGCTGGATGGTTGCCCTTGCAATTAATACACAGTGGCTGCAGCGGTGCAATTATCACTATCGTGGCCAACCGAACGAGCATCGAGCGCACGTCAGGGTCCCACGACAGGACATCTTGGAATGGCCAAAACGCTGGCACTGGAAGCATCGCATGGGTTTGGAATATATGGTCCTTACGGGACAATTTAAGATATCCAGCCTTAATATTCTTCGGCAGATCAGGCGATTTGAAGGTCAGGATCACGTGTTTAGTGTCAATCAACTGACCTTCCTTACGCATCTTGATCCGCCTAGCACCACAGACATTTTTGGTCAGCTAACTCGGAAACGAACTCTTCTTCTGAAACACACAGAAGGTCGATTTCCGAGATCACACCTCTACAAAAATTCAGAGTTTTATGCGCTGACACAGTTATAGCTATATTTTCCAAGTTTGTTTGTGACAAAAGGAAGCAGATTGGGTTGGCGAGACAGTATCTATAAGCAGGTCTCCAGAACGGAGACGCTTTTTATGTTCTTTGGCTCACCTACGCAAGAATGGAATATATTTGTTACTCAGAAAAGGAGACATCTTTTTAAATTCTTCAGAGGCACTGGAAACAACAACAAAGCGAGGACATTCAGTAGTTACTTTGGCATTTGCATCGGTACGAATTTTCTTGCTCACTGATTTGTCTATGATTTCAATGTCTTGATTGGCATCATTTGACTCAGGTTTTTTTAAAATGAAAAGGGAAGCCATGATAGAAAATATAAGATTCAGGTCCGACGGCCCCGCCCACCACGGAGCCCAACAAGGGAACACAGATTCCTGTGTTAGGGCTAGCCGGACCTATACGCAAACTGAAGCCCCACAGTCGGCTTTCCCGAAAGCAGGTACTCCCGAGAGCTTGACCCCAAGCCACTGACACAAGGACTAGTGACCAGCCGATTGACACCCGTGAGGACGACTAAGGTGCCTCCCGTTTAGCTGAAGCAGAGGCCAAAGCAGTGTGTTGGGGACAGTACCTCGCCCCTCAACTACCAGGACCCTCCTTTCCAGCGACACGGGTCTCCACGCACGGCAAACACGTGGGCAGTTTTCTCGCCACTCGAAAACTAGAGACAAGGTCTGTTCCAGTCTCTCGTGACGAGCCCCAAACTCCGTAGAGAGAAACCACGAAGGGAGAAGAGGAAGGGAAAAAGTTCCAGCAAAGAGGAGAGGAGACGGAAAAGAGGATAGATCACTGGGGCTCCAGGATCGTGACACCCGTCTCACCAAGAAGATGATCCCCTGAAGGGCTAGGGTACCTCGGGATTGCCACACCCTACTCACTAATTAGCTGTGTTAGGAAGCAGTTTAGCTGAATTAAGGAAAATCGTATACTAAGGAAATTAAAAAAATACTTTACGTCGGGATTACTGTAGATATTTTAGCTATTATTTTGTAATTGTAATATAACGGATGGCAAATTTGGTGCAGTGTGCGATTTCAGGTCAATTGACGATGAATGAAAACAGCTATGCATCATCAACTAAACTGAATCGCATTGATACCAACTGATATTTCTTTTACACATGTATGCAGTTTACTACTCCATGTTACTGAAACAATGTTATAGAATTTTATATATAGAACCATTCATTAAATTAAGACATTGTTTTCCATTCACAGTCTCACTGATGTTCCGTATTTCACCTTAAAGAGGGGTCCACGATTCATAATTTAAGCTAATAACCTACATATACATAAAATAAAATGTTTAAATTAGCACTGCATGTCGTGTAGAACTATTTCTTATGGTTTCTACGCATTTCCTTTCGGTATAGGTTTTAACTTCTTCTATCATAACTTAATGTGTAATGTTAAATTAATGATAATAAATGAAGGATTTCGTCACATTTGAAGTAAAGACTATTTATGAAGGTTTAATTAAAAAATGAAACTTACAAGTATCCATGCAAGTGTCATACAGTTGCTTCTGCATCTGAATGAAGTCAGGTTCCTTTCCCGTCAATTCCCTTTCTAAGAGAGCTAGAAAATAATTAACAATACTTATGTTAAGAATACTGCACTTAGATTCTTTCTTGTTTATTGGAAACAGACAAATGGTCGAGATTTAGTATCCATACCTCTATTTAAGGAAACAGTGCACAATTACATAACTTATACACAATGCTGAATATATTTAAAATAATATTACTGAAATGTCATGGAACCAAATTTTCAAAAATAAACTAAAAATGAAATTCAGTTTTCTTCTGCCTCTGAAAAAATTGCTGGATGGGCTTAAAATATTTCGTTTGTAGAGTCATTAAGTTAATTGGAAGCAGCCAAGAAGAAAAATTAACAACGCCTTCGCCGAGAATCGAACCACGGTCCTCTGGAATACCGGCCCAGCGTGCAGAACTACTATACCACGAAGGACGCTTGGAAAGCGGGAGAAATATCTTATACGTTATAATTCAGCTGGTGTCCACCGATAACATCGCGGCAAAAACATCGTGGACGAAATCGTCGCGGAGAAAACAACGCAAGGTGAAAACGTCGTGCTACAAAACATCGTGGGAGAAAACATCGCAGTTCTAAAACATCGTGGTACAAAACATCGTCGTAGAAAAAAAGCGGTTCAAAATATCGCAGTTTAAAAACATCGTCGTCGAAAATATCATGGTAAAATAAAGTATCTACAATCATCGCATGACGATAACATCGCAGACATGCTTTTTTCAGGTTTTAATAATTGTAAATGGATATTCCCATAATGATTTGTGAGCGCAAGGTGTAAAGAAGGATAATTTTACTTTCACATTTTTTTAACTAATAAATTTTGCTGAAAACGTAAGAAGGAAACTAAGCATAGAAAATTAAATGCAACTTATGATTATACTTTTCATGAAATATTACAGTAAAACTTTATAAAAATGATTTAATTAATGGCCTTTGTTAGTTAACTATGTCAGTTTAAAATTCTATTAAGTGCTATAAGTGCATTAATTTTTATGCTTAAGTTTCCTTTTATTTTCTCAGCAAAGATTTATTTATTATTATAAAAATATGAAAGTAAAATTATCTTCTTCCATCTGCGCTCACAAATCATTATAGAATATTTACCACTTATGAAAGCATGCCTGAAAAAAAGCAGCATGTCTGCGATGTTATCGTCATGCGATGATTTGTAGATACTTTATTTTTTACCACGATATTTTCAACGACGATGTTTTAACTGCGATGTTTTTGAACCGCTTATTTTCGACGACGATGTTTTGTACCACGATGTTTAGAACTGCGATGTTTTCTTTTGCGATGTTTTCTCCCACGATGTTTTGTAGCACGACGTTTTCGCCTTGCGTTGTTTTCTCTGCGACATTTTCGTCCATGATGTTTTTGCCGCGATGTTTTGGGCTGTAACCAATTCAGCTACACTCAACAGCTGGTGTAAATTACTTTTAAGCTAATGCGTCCAAAATTAAATTATTAAGTATTCCTTTTCCATGCAATGAAACGCAGTCGGTACTATACCATTGGGATTGCCAGGTGCTAAAATATTAAAGTATAGATACTTTTTTATTGTTTAATGTGGTATAATTGCGAAAGATCATATATATATATCTTAAGTTGTTCTTTTTAAATATATCTTAACATGAATATTAAAGTTAGAAATATTGAACGTATTAGGAATTAAAATAGTAACATATTGTCATGCATTTCGCAACATGTCTTAACAAGCAGTGTAAGAATCGGAATATAGGAGGAGTACATTCGCCTAACAGGTATTCATCGTAAGAAAATGTCATTTCTAATATATAACATATGTTTTATTTCCTTAATTGCTTATCTCAACGTTTAACGTTCACAATTAAATCGCCTATAACGCCCGTGCATTCAGACATCGGCAGGACGCCCGGACGCCTGCGTCCATTTTCTACCCGATGCTTTCCTTCATCGTGTTAGTGCACGGTTCATTGTTTTCGAGAGTTTTTTAATTTAGTGCCAATCATTCTTTTGAAGTAGTATCTCTCTTATTTGAATCTTATTGCTCTCTTATTGAATCTCTTAGTAGCTCTCTTATTTGTAGTTCTCTTATTTGTAGCTCTCTTATTTGAATGCACCTTCCCTCTCCTTTTTTAAGCGTCTATTGCAATCTTGTCCTAAGGGAAAACTGCACATAGTGGGTGAAACCGCACAGAGATCCCCAAGAGAGAAGTAATCACTGCACTTAAATGTGTTTTGTTAATGCTGTAGTAGTCTACTACACAGGGGTAAGGAAATCCATTCCAATAGAAATTCACATGCACGGGTGCTTCATCGATGCGAAAGAGTAAAACATACAACCATAATTTTTTAAGAGGAGACCTGAAGATTTTAAAATTTTTTTAGTGATTTAAAACCTACACATCTTGATAATAGTGCGATCAAATATATATGTTTCCAGTTATAACACTTATAATAGAATTAAACATATTTACTAACATCTGAGTTTACTATCGAGCGTGATCACAATTTTAGAATGGGTGCTAACTGATGAACTATCGTCAGGAATCGAATGTCTATCTATCCAGCCACCACAGGCGAATTGGTAGAAGTCATCGCATGGGCTCACATTCTCATCTAAATTAGCTGAGATTTCGGCAGCTGAAAAGGGAAAGGAAAAATTATAATTTGCACGATATAAAATTTTTAAATCAAAGTTAATTACTATGAAACGATCTTGCTGATAGCATTAAAAAATCTCTTAAGAAGGCAACTTAAAGCTGCAATGGTAGATTGGTAAATATTGAAGGAATTTATTCGGAATTTTTATGAAATCTTTGGTTCTATTTAAATCAGGGCTCTAAACGTTGTTACCAATATGCCATATTTGTATTGTATTGATTAAATTAGATGTCCACTTTAACACGAATTCCTTATTACTTATTTTAATTTAAATTAGATTATCAGCATTTAACATGAATTGCTTAATATTTATTTTAATTTTCAAAAATTGTATTTTCGGATGTCTAGATACTTTTTAACCATTAAATATTGTGTTACATGAAATAAACAATTTTAAATGTTTCAGCTCTCTAAATTAATTTCAGGGCAAAAATACTGTAAAAATAACGAAAGATAAGCAATAAAATATTTTACAGAAAACGAATAAAAATTCAGAACGGGTTCTATGGCGGGTGAAATAGGTCCCTTCGGGGAAAGAATTATTCAGAAAGAACTCTCTTATCTTAGAGTGAAAAAGCCTGCAATTAAAACTCAAAGAGTAATTATGTGAAGATATAACTAAGTTACTGGCAGTGAAATACAAGTAGTCATATTATAACGTATTTCCTGTTTACGCAGTTTACGCAGCATTGCTGTTTACGCAGCATTACATGCGAGAGTTTAAAACACTAAAACAACCAACTAAAATGCTAATAACACCACTTCGCCTATAAACCGATTTAATGGCAATTTTTTATGATCGATTCAAGTATTGTTTTGTTTGAAATGCTTAAAGTTTTCTTGATCATGAACAATGTTCCAGGAGTTCTTGAAAACAGATTGCCCGAGTTTTCCAAACTAATTATTGACATCAAGTGGTACCTTAATTGAAGAGCAGTTAGTAAATAATACGGACCATCAACAAAGAAATTTGTAAGTTCTTATTAAATACCTGGAGAATCAATTAGATCTAAGAGTCAAAGTGAGCAATAAAATTGAAGTTTGTTTGAGACGCTTAAAGTTTTCTTGTTCATGAACAATACGCCAGGAATCCTCAAAGATATAGATAGCCCGAGTTTTGAAAGCTAGTTATTTACATTAAGTGGCACCTCAGTTGAAGAGCAGTTAGTAAATAATAACTATTATTACGAAGAAATCTGGCAGTTCTTATGCACACAGAATCATAGCACTATGTAAGTTTATCACAATGCTAAACGAAAAGGTGTGTGTGTGTGTATGTGTGTGTATTTAATTATGGCAAAGCACACTAGGGCTATCTGCCTAAGGGGAGGGATGCCTTCGTGGAGGACTTTCTAAGGGAAACTGGCTCGTATTCGTTACACATGGGGAAAACCACGAAAACACCATGCAGGCTAAGCGAAAAGGAAATGTTGCATTATGAAATGGAAGTAGAAATTGTTAGGAAAGCTGTCTCAATAAATAGTTTAAACGCAGTTGTCTTTTCTGTGGTGAATTAAATTTTAGCCTTTCGAGGTGAATCCTGCCATTGAAAGCGGATGACAGTTTAAGATAGGTATTAAAAATATACAGAAACCTCTGGAATAAATAAACAATCTTTGAAATAACGAGGAATCAAAGTTTGATAATTTATGTTTTTGTATGCGTTTATGGTCAAAATGTAGAATAATACTTTTTAAAATTAATTTCCATTGGTCATATCTATTAATTGTGTTTTGTAGAGACAGTTTAGGCATTTTATCGGAGCAGAAAACGTGAAAAATTTGCAGTGCCACCGCCGGGTCTCGAACTCAGAAATTTTCGATTGCTAACTAGACTCGTTTTCCAACTAGATCACGGAAACACACGGTAAAGAGAAATAAAAATCTTAGAATTTAAGTAGACCTTCTCTGTTTATTTGTATTTTTGCTTTTCTAACTAAAATCTGTTAAAATATTTTACTAATATTCTACCCACACACGTTAACTATATGCGGTTTCATTATACGCGGAACATCCGGCGTACCATCCTAATTTGGCGGATAATGAGGATTTAGTGTCTATTGATTGATAAACTTCAGTTTGAATTGTTTGTGAGTAAAAGCTGAGTTTGTTTTAAGACCTGGCAAATCTGCTGGCATATGTATTTAAAAATGTATCGAAAACCGGGAAAGGAATCCCACGCATTAAATCAAAAGGGCTTGTTTTTCTATTCTTCAGTTTAATAAAGCACAATCTTTTGTAATGACGATAACACACATTTTATATTGACCCTATATATAAAGCAGTTAGCTACCATAGACATTAGAAATTACGTTAGAAAAAAAAAAGGAGTTCACAACAAAGCAAGGATCAGATATAATTTAAATATGTAAATTAAATTCAAAATTAAATAAGGAATATATTAGTGAACATTCCGCATCAGTTTGCTTCAACGATTGAGTAACGCTGAACAGAAAGACGAAAGAAGGCAAATGAATTATCTTTAGTACGTCAAATCACGAAATACGTGTCACAACATTATACGTATCAATAAATTTAATATTTCAATTTTTTGTTTGCTGTTCTTTTATTTTAATTAAGATATATTAGACAAAATATAGAGTTCTACATTCTTTGTTTCGTGAAATTCAAATAAAAATGGTAAAAAAGAAATAAACGCATTCAAGAATACATGCTTTCTTAACTTTTCATGTCGTTTAATGATATTTAAGATTTTTCACTACCGAATGACTTTGCTGGCAACATCCGTTAAGAAACCATAGACAAATTATAACCCACATTTCTCAGTAGTCTTTATAAAAACAACATGTTTTAAATAGCAAGAGCTCTTGCAGGAAAGGATACAAGCCTCTTTACTATCCATTTTATACAGATTGCCCCCCAAAAAACATACTTGAAAATTACCTGCTTTAACGCATCCAGGTGTCATACAAACGTAAGAATCTGATGAGACATTGAAAAGTGGCAGCACACGATATATGTCCAATGGCTTTTCAACAGCTTCTGAAAGACCTGCAACAGAAAATTTCATTAATATTTGAATTATGTCATTGAAGTTTACCTGTGAATGTCAAGTTTAGCAATAAAATAAGTACATATAAGAATGAAGCACACAGGAAAGAATCGACAAAAATTTAACTGTTGGTCAAATGAAGTTCACACTTGCCGGTTCTAGAAGGAAAAAATACTACTTTGATTATAGTGTTTTAGAAACTTCGTGAAATATTTAGCACTAACTGCTTATATTCTGATCCAGTTTTATATCCATTACTGTTTCGAAAATCTAAGGATGCTTCACCTTTTTCAAATCCTTCCAGTGAAGGGAAAAAATTGGATAGTATCTAGATACAATAACATTTCTTATTTCACTAAAACATATTTCTTCCCTTACAAAATAACTAAACGCAATTTATGCTGATTTCTTTACGACTATTATAATTGTGAAGGTGAAACAAAAGCGCACGTATCATGTTACCGTACACCATTACCCATAATCCACACTAGTTTGTACTGACATGTTAATACTAAGTCTATACTCTAGCAATTCAAAGTATCCTAATGTCAGCCCCAAAATGGGCGATATCTTAGCTACAAGTGTTGACCGTACAGACTAATATTTTCCCAGAACAGGCTTTAAACTTTCAAACTACCATTGCAGAAATGAATGTTATTTAGAATTAATAAATAATCTTTCCTTACAGCACTCCGTACCATTTCATAGAAACACATAACTTTCATATGTGAATTTTCAGAATTACTGGCGATATATCAAATTAATAGCTTAATTTGAATAGCCGAAGAAATTTTACAATTATTTATGATACACTTATGCGTTAATATTACCTTAATTGTGACATTATATTTCACACGAAATATAAAGAACCAGAATTTCAAGGTAAGTTTTAGCTTGTCAATTGTCTTTCCACTTAGTTATAATCATCATTTTCTTGATCATCACCAATCCTGGAATTCCATATTGGTCCTTTACCTCATTGGTCTTTTTTTTTTGGTCTTATCGTGAGGATTCATAGTTCTTGTACACTGCTCCGTCTGCTGTTCAGAACTCTCTGAGGAACTCATCTGTCGTGTACGATTCTCAGCTCGCTTTTCAGAACTCCTGAGAAAATTAACAGCAAAGGTGCTTTTCCGAGCGCGTTTTTGTACTTCTTTTCTTCTTCTTGCTTTTGTTCTTGGGATGGTACATCTCTTTGGCCTTAGTTCGTCTTCCTCATTATCAAGCTTTTATCGTTTCAACAAAGACAGTTGTTCTTTTCTAGCTACTTACCTGAATTCTGAGCAACTCTTTCAGGCCTTATATTTCTTATATTTAAAACTGTCGCTGCTTTTTCTGTCCCCCGATGACCTGCCCCTCTGCTTTCCAGCCACGATCTACCCATTGACTACGGCGACCTCGAATTTAATATAATACAAAAGTAATTAACAGTTTTATTAACAATGAAACAAATTTAAAATCTATGTTGGAAATGCCTGTATGAAAGCTAATTACAAAGGAAAATAAAAAAAAATTAAGTTATAAAAAATTTTGAAAGGTTTCAGATTTTAAATTACATCCAAACGGGCGTTTTAGTAACATTTCGTGTATTACCTTTATTTATTAGATATCATGTTCTTCGCACTTATACCATAAAACTCAGTTCAAGAGCAATATCGCAAAATAATACTCAAATTAGCATTTTTTTAGAACTTCCGATACACAGACTCGCGCTGTGGATATAAAAATGTTTTTTTTTTTTTTTTTTTTTTTTTTTTTTTTTTTTTTTTTTTTTTCTGTACAACGTTGCCATGGCTTGCTTTGAAATCCTTGAGTTCGTTACTAAAAAATTCGTTAAAGTTTTACGAAATATGAAAGCGGTAATAAAACAAATTCCAAATTTTAAATTTGAGCTTCCAGATGCCCATATTCGCAGGAGGAATACTTTATTCAAAATTGGATGATTCTAGGTACGATGTTTTATCACAGTGCGAGAAACAAATATATATTTATTAAAATTCTTGAATATTTAATTTCTTTAAATATAATACAGAGCGATAATGTTTAGTGGCAACAATTTGAAAAGTCAAACAACGCTTGTAGTGAATCAACGCAAAATGCCAAAACGAATTTAATAGTCCTTCTGGGAAAATTGCCCCTTTGGACTAATAATTTTGGATAGTAAATTTTAAATATTTGAATTCTTAAAATAATAGACCAAATTCTATTCATAGCTCTATATCAGTAAGAAAAATCTGCTTAAAATCGAAGTTGGGCATTAAAAGATTTTTTTGAAATGTATCCTGTTCTCGTGCCATGACGCCATAATTTGTTTAAAAGGGATAATCAAAAGTCATCTCGTCTATTCGGAGAAGATTATTAAAAGTGGCTTATTTAAAGTGAAAACCTGAAAAATATGCATTATTTGATGCATCTTAAATTAAAGAATTCTAAAAAAAAACTTTCCCTTTCATTATTAGTGCCAGAATAAAGAAGAAAGATTTAGTATACACACAATCATTTGGAAGAGATGAGCATGTTATGGACGAGATCATCATGTTAGCATGAGGTAAATCAAAATTGTTAATCAGACATGTACAGGAATGTGTTACAGGAATCAAAGCGACGATTTTTTTTACAGCTCTTGTTAATCCATACCGAAAAATGTTAAATGTAACAAAAGAGATTTCGATGATACAAATAAACAGCAAAAATTAGGAATCGTGAGCTTCAGTTTCATGAAAATACTTTTTAAATATTTAGGTAACAGGCCATTATAAAAAACACATGACTTTAAAATTTGTTTCCTAGATAGAATAAAGTTTTTGAGGAGATATATATGATAGAACAAACTGAGAACAGCTGGGCGCAGTTTTCATGAGCAGTAACAGCAGCATCGAATCATCATTGTTGTTCCCTTTAGGACAACTGTTTGAAGGTATTGTAAATACTCTTTGAAGGTATTGTAAATACTCTTTGAAGGTATTGTAATACTGAGAACAGCTGGGTACAGTTTTCATGAGCAATAACAGAAGCATCGAATCATCATTTCTGTTCCCTTTAGGACAACTATTTAAATAACTGAAGGTATTGTAACACTGGAACAGCTGGGTGCAGTTTTCATGAGCAGTAACAGCATCACGAATCATCATTGCTGTTCCCTTTAGGACAACTGTTTGAAGGTTTTTAACCAGGTGTTTAAGGCTTGAAATAAGAGCAAATGTTACAGGAACAGCAATGATGATTCGATGCTGCTGTTACTGCTCATCCAAACTGCGCTGTTCCAGCTGTTCTCAGTTTCTTCTATGATATAGATCTCCACAAAAACTTTATTTTATCTAGGAAACAAATTTTAAAGTCATGTGTTTTTTTATAATGGCCTGTTACCTAAATATTTAAAAAGTATTTTCATGAAACTGAAGCTCACGATTCGTAATTTTTGCTCTTTATTTGTATCATCGAAATCTCTTCTGTTACACTTAACATTTTTCGGTATGGATTAACAAGAGCTGTAAAGTAAAATCGTCGCTTTGATTCCTGTAACGGATACATGTCTGATTAACAATTTTGCTTTACCTCATGCTAATAAGATGAGTATCATCTCTTCGAAAAGATTGTGTGTATACTAAATCTTTCTTCTTTATTCTGGCACTTATAATGAAAGGGAAAGTTTTTTTCTAGAATTCTTTAATTTAAGATGCATCAAATAATGCATATTTTTCAGGTTTTCACTTTAAATAAGCCACTTTATGTATCGTCAAGTTTGAAACTTTTGCCATTGCCTGGTTAATTTTACGTTTCAGTCGGTCTAAGTGTTTTCCGCATTGCCATGGCACGGTTAACATAGAGCTTAGTTAGAGCTATGATGTTCGTACTTATTTTGAGTACCTGTTGGCTATACTCTATCATTGTCTAAAGGAAGTAAGTAAATCAAAAGTGTTTTACTTGGAAATACAAATATTTTTATAGTTATCAGAGGAATAGATTTTAAATACTGCGAGTGAGTTTGGTCTCATACGCGAAATGTTCGGCATTTTCATTCCTTCCCGTCCCCAACCAAAAGTACTGGCTGACGTCAACAGTAACACTAGTAATTTGTAAACTACGTTAATAATAAAAACCTGATTTTAACTATTGCTCTATGTAATTCTATAATAAATGTGTAAAAATTAAGTAAATTTCATTTGAAACATTTTAAAGTGATTATATACAACCTTCCTTTGAAACTTCCCAGAAACACAGAGAGATATTTTAAAGTGTTTTTATCTGGAAAAAAGATGGAATGCTTATTATTTCTTATTACACATTATTAGGAACTAATAAGGAAGTCTGTGAAATGAAACCTGATTCGGAACATGTGGATGTCAAGCAAGCGTGAGGTTCAAGGAAAATGTTGGTGGATGACGCTAGGCAATTTGTGTTCCTTGGCACGTATATTTCTGGTCTGGGATCTGAAAGAAAACATTTAGTTTATTTTAGAAAAATATTATAAAATAGTTGCATTGGTGTCAGGCATTAACAAGGTTAAAATTCAAAGGATATGTAAAAGAGGAACTTTGTCAGACGGATTTTTTTATTGAATCACTTACTCCACTTAACCTTTTGACAACGAATTAAAAAAAAAAAAATTATTCCTTTTCTGTCCAAGTAAGCAAAATATATAATAAATAAGGTAAATTTAGCGTTTGGTATTTTTTTTTTTTACATACGGCTTTCAAGCTAAAAGTCTGGGGCACATATGACCCAGCCGTAGTTAATGGTGGGATATAAATGTCCCACACGTAGCGATTGACGTATTATAAGCACATTTAATATTCTGGAAGACTTTATTATATGAAATAGATTTACATCGTATGGTACAAGTTAAAGCATTCTTTGCATAACCTAACATCACACATTGGTTCAACTCATATTTGATATTTTCTTTATGTTCATTTGTGTACAACGAGTACCGTAGCGTCTTGATTTTACAACAATTGGAAGATGATTCCCAGCATTCAAGAGATTATCATTTCTCTCCTTCTCCCGAATGAATTGTTCTCTTGAATGAATTTTGATTCGCTCCGTCTCCTTTTTAAACTTTTGGTGAGACATATATGTTCCGTTAGTAGTCAAAGGGATAACAGATCGACTACAATTTTTTCATTTAAGCATTTGTTTCATATTTGTCACGTTTTGTTCATACTAAGACTATATACCTAAGGAGAGGGATGCGTTTATGAAGTAACTATCTAAGGTAAAGTAGCTTTTAATCACTTTGCTTATGAAAAGAAAAAGGAAAATATGTAAACGGCCAAGCAGGAAGCTTATGGAATGGACCTATTAACTATGGTCGTTTCGCCGTCATGCCGTTTCGTCTTTGGGCTAATTCGTCATCGAGTCAGTTGCCTTCCAATATTATATCTCTTTTGTTTATATATTTGTAGCCTCTCCGTGTAAAATTTTAAAAGAACACTGCATGAAACAACTACATGAAACTAGAGATTTTTCCTTTTCTACTGATACATTATTCGATCAAAACTGGTTAAGGGGGGACTGTGGACTTTAAAAATTAGTTTTTTAAGTTTTTGCTCTTTCAACAAGAAATTTTATACATACACGTATTACAACGTCAATTTATAAAATATATGTTCAAATTTCAATTTATTTTAAATTAAAACTTTTTAAAACAAATAATTAATAATTTATATAAATATTTAAAATGCTCCTTACGCGCTAATTTTCAATATTTTCCCCTAATTTTTCCTTTATGTTAGTTATAAAGACTTCACAAAAGGTTTTGTGTATCTGTTAATAAATATGATGGATCAGAAATTTTTAAAAAGGATTTATAAACTTAAACCCAGTTTTCGGAAAAATGTCACCTTTTGTTAAACATTATCACAAGTTTAAACTTCTTAATCACCTCATATCCAAAAATGCATATATAGATCTACTGTAACATACAACAAGATAGTTTCTGCCAAATATCATTCATTTTTAACTAAAACTGAGACGCATGCAGCATTTTTAGGACATACGAACTGCGAAAGATTTTGTTTTGAGAAAACCGAATTTAAAGTTTTTCTTTAATTGGAGACATAGTTTAATACATGATCATGTGAAACAGAAAATATGAATATATAGACACTAGATAACATTTTCTTATAATTTAACTATTTTTAATCTCATAGTATTGAATATAAGAAAAATAACCATATCGCAAATTGGTATGTGAATCGAAGTCAGAGGTAGAAACAATTTACGCAATATATCCAATGAAACTTTTAAAATTCACTTATTTCATATGTTTTACCTTCATTTGTTACATTTGTATTATCTCTTAATGCTTCACAATATTTTTTACTATTTCTATTTTTTTTTTTTTTTTTTCTAAGAAGGTAAACTTCCCTTTTTGCTTTGGTTCAAGCGACGTTTGTATCGAGTAGGGTAAAACGAGTTTGTTTAGTTTGTTTCCTCCTGTTCTACGCGTATAGCATTCACATAACCAAAGTTAAATTCAATTGATAGTTGTCAATACCTGACATTTCTAGGCTTTTTTTTTAGAAATAAGCGCTTCTTTTGGGCAAATATTTAACTTATTACATCAGTGAATAACTGTTGAAATACATTTTTAAAAATTTTCTCAAAAATTTAAAGGGCAAAGTTTACGTTATTTTCACAATTTAAATGCTTGTAACTTCTTTAAAAATTAGAATATTTAAACTGATTTTTTTTTGCATACGATGTAGTTACCATGAAATATTATGAGAGTAAAAAAACAAATTCAATATTTTGGTAGATTTTTAGCTGTTTTAAAGTCCACCATTCCTTTAAAATCTGAATCATCATGATTTCTTGAAATCGGGACATTGTTTTTGTAACATCCTGTATTTTAAATGGCCTTTTCAAAACAGAACTGTCAAATTGTAGGGAGGAAATTTATATGGTATTATTGCATCATAAATTTATGTTACACGAAAATTTCATTTATCAATGAAAGTAAATAAATATTTCAAGCCATTATCGCATTCTTTCAATGGATCACTTCATGCAAGTCTGGCAACAAATATTTACAACAAGTGAAATAAGTACTTGATGTTTTTTCAACACATGGAATCTGCTTAGTGAAAACAAAGCCAGTCTTGCTTTGAGATGTTCAAAACATGCTTTGAATTAAAACTGGTTTTTGAAGGAAAGAATTAAAAATCCATTATTCTACCTGATATTTTCAATATGGATTGCAGGATCATATTCAGTTTTGCAGTTATTTATGTTAATTTTGCTTGCTTGCGTATTTTGCTCAAAATTCATGTAAATATTAGATACCGAAATTATTTTATATTGCATACTGAAACACCATTGTTATCTTAATTCAATATTTATAGCCCGATTCAAAGGATATTTACTTATATTATTGTTAACTGCGTATTGATTTCTGATTTATAAAAACGTTTAAAATAGTCATATATGTAAATACAATACTAATTTATTTCATAAAATGTCCTGTGTAAATACGGGTTTAGTACTGTGACACTGGAGTGTTATTTATGGGCTCTACTGCCTAAGCAGCTCTTCCCAGAGCAATTACACAGCTTTTAAAAAGCTTTAGAATGAATGGTAAATAGCGTGTGCTCCTCGTAGGAGGTCTTGCATTGTGAGAATAAAAAAATAGGCCCTTTGTCTTTGTAATTGCAAGAGTCGTTACGCATCTGATGTCATTTATGGCACTAGAACAGAATCGAGGTAAGTGGCGTGGAAGGTGAGCGTTCCCAACTGTGACAGTCGTATTAAATTGGTTTTAATATTTGCATTTAAGTAAACACACAGTAATGCTGGTCCATATAAAATAAAACCGGTACAGTAATTTAAATTATTTTAAATTTTATGTGCAAAAAATATTTTGTAAGATTTAGTTATCATCATATACTGCAACATAGATTTATTGCGTGTGTGGTGGTTGACGTAGTAGTAGACAATACGTAATATGAACTTGTAGCGACATTAGGATATTTTGCATGCAGGAGATATGAAAAATGAGCAACGCCTTCGACGGGACTCGAACCACAAACCGCGGTGGTGAAGAATCATCAATCATCACCTTTTAGTTCGGGCGCCACTGCAGAGACATTAGGTATTTTTGAAGAATGAAAGGAGATGTGAAAAATGAGCAATGCCTTCGCCGGGACTCGAACCAGGTACCTTTTGAATACGCTTCGAGCATGCTACCACTACTCTACGAAGTCATGCTAAGAAGGCGGGAAAAGAACCTTATAAACATAATTTTTAAGCAAACATCTGCAGGATTTTGGGAGACATCGTTTATAAACAAGGTACGTTTATAAACAAGACGGAATTTTCTTCTTAATGAAACTGAATTTTTGAAACGGTGTGAAAGATTTTAAGCTATAAATTTATAGCTTTTTTTTAAATCCTAAGATTTTTGTTAAAATACTCATTCTTAAATTCTTCTAGCAAATGAAGAGGTTGCAGTTTCGTATAATATTTCATTTCGGATCTTATTGAAGCAAAATAGTCGCACCAGTGGCCAACTAGTTAAGACTGCGGATTACTTGGAGTTCGGCCCGGGTTCGAACCCAGGCAAATGATGCGTGATTGATTTTCGTGTTTTTCTACAAGTGTAACATGAGTAAAAGATAATTTTTCTTAGGAAGTCTTCCAAGAAGACATCCCACCTCCACACCCATTGTATGCTTTGCCATATTCGAGTAATCGACCCCAAAATTAAAAATTTGCTCTCCGCCATGTTGTTCATTTATATACTTTTCCTGGCATTTAATTGCAAAAATTGTGACTCTGATACCTAAAGCTTAAACATGATATACATGATCTTAGTATTTAGATAAAATTTTTAATTTATTATGTATATTTGCAAGGTGTTTTCGGTTTTCTTTTAATACATGATAGTAGAAATTTATAACTGTAAAACGTTTGCTTAACATTTTTGCTTGCTTGCAAACGAGGTTGAATAAAATTATTTCATATTCATAAATCGCATGTAGTGTATAGAATTGCATGTTAATTTAATGTTTTTCTAAAATGGTCATGCTGTTAGTCATGATCATTTTATAACATCAAACTATCTATTTATCTAACTAAAACAAATTTTAACTGTTAGAAAAAATAATACTTGAAATAGGTACAGTATCAAGATTGGTATATATTAATAAGTGCATTATTAAGAAAGAAAATTACAGGTTTATTTTCAACAAAATGCTTAAAGATATATATATTTTCAAAATATTTATTATTCATATATTTATTTATTCATATATTTTTATATTTTTTCAAAAATATAAAAATATTATTCAAAAAGGTAAGTGTCTCATTTATTGTTTATATATTTTTCAAAATATATTTTTCAAATTATTTATTATTATATATTTTTCAAAAATATTCATATATTTTTCAAAAAGGTAAGTGTCTCATTTATTGTTTTACCTTAAGGTCATGTTTAAGCATTTGCTTATAGGTGCTTCTTAAAGTAAAAATAAAGTAATTATTCATCTTTTAAATTTGCTAATAATTGTTCAGTTATTCAGGGCACATTAAATATGAATTAAAAAAGATTTTTCGTCACGGTATTGATGTAAAATAATGACTTTAAGAATGCAAAATCTACAATATTAACTTCACACCTTTTAGGAAAATAATATAAACTGCTTTAACCCTTGAATTATTTCTCTGTTTCTTCTTTTAGGTCATCACATTTACCACATGGAAAAAGTCACAAATGGTGTGTTTTAAGTAATTTAAAAATATAAATGCGTTTAATGCATATTCAATTTCCCCAATACATATATGAACACGCAGATATACAAAATGACATGCACTTAAAACGGCGTTTTCACAATTTGATCGTGACGCGTAAAACAACGTTTTCATAATTTCATCGTAATGTGCATAAATCATTTGCATATATTTTTAAAAGAAATAAGTACAAAAATACGCATAAATAATTTGTATACATAGGCAGGTTTTACGAAATATGTATGTATAGATGCAGTGAAAATATAGTTAAAGATTTACGTAGCTTTAAGAAAATGCTCATTGATGCATTGTTAACACTACAGAAACTTTACTTATGTGTTTAAAAAAGTTATGCGCACACGCAAAAAAAAAAAAAAAAAAAAAAAAAAAAAAAATAGTAGGGGAGATCTATCAAAATTGTACGCATATGAGCAGTAAAATGTAGGGGAGATGTAAGGAAATGTTTTTTTCAAACATACGTTCATAGGAAGTAAAAAATTTGGAGAAATTTCAGCAGTCGATAAATATACGGAAAAAAGTTACCACCAATTTACGTAAATCCTCGTAATATAGGATAATTAAAAACAAATATGCGAATATATGGCGACAAATCATATGAATATATTCAAATTTCATGTGTAACATATGTACACTATAGCGTAAAAACATGCTTAAACATCTAAATATTTTTTCCTGACACATTTTATGACATTTTACATTCAAATTTTACTTTTCCTGTACAAAGGTTGATTCGAAAATTGCACGCTTAGTTCATGATTTACAAATGCATACCTTTTCGGCCAGAATTTCCATAAATGTCACTTAATGGCTGTACTTTTGCGATTCTGTTCTTCTGGATAGATGTTTTTAAAAGTAATATATTTTAATTTTAGATTCATTAAAAAAATGTGTGCATGTTTTTTTTATACTAAAATTTAAACCATACGAATGTTATATATATACTTTACGGATATTATACACAAAGATACAAACAATACGAAATTAAACTATATATTTATACTTTCATATTAAATTATTTAAAACCTTATTTGTGTGTTGTGATAATAATTAAATACATAAGCCTAAATTTTTATGATTCTGGCAGGGTTGAGTATTCTTAAGGAAAGCATCTCTTGATGTGGGTCTGGGGGACAATCTTTAAAAATAATAAATTGCTGTTCATGAACTTATTATTACTATTGTAAACAATTCATGCTTTGACAGAAATAGATTCATTAATCTGATATTAATAAAACAATGTTTCCTTAGAGAAAATTGTGTACTCCAGTATTTGAAAAATTTATGAATAGCGGATATTTAGCAGATATTCAATAAAGTAAATTTCTCAAAAATGCGTTCGAAATTTATTCCCTAAATAAGGAGAAATGAATGGAAGTTCCAAATGCATTGAAGAACCTTCAGACATGTTAAATTAAAAAATGATAGAAATGTAAATGCAGGAAAAATCATTGAAAAGTGTCTTTTTTATAAAAACACTTTTCAATGATTTTTCCTGCATTTACATTTCTATCATTTTTACATTTCTATTATTCATAGCTGCAAAGTTGTTTTGTATCTGGTTATCTTCACTCCGTATTAAATGATCAAAATTTTAATGACTTTCACTCAACGCTTTCTGCTCCATCATTGTTAGCAATCCATTGGCAGCATTTGAATTGAACTTTCTTCTGTATCAGTGCAAATTAAAACCAAATATAGGCGTACGTTATTATTTATCATATTATAGTTAACACATTCTGAAAATTTAAATTTTCCTTTTTTACTGTCATTGTCTCCTTAAGTCTTTATTCCTGAGTTGACCGTATTTGAAATTACAATCTCCTGACAGAAAATAGAAGAGTCGGCTTAATATGGTACATTACACGGTTGGTTTTACTGTGAGGTTATTGTAAAATCTTATTATTTCAAGAACAGATGTAAAAACATCGGTTACCAATTTATACCTGACACTATTTAGTGATAGTCCACTAGGAGAAAGGGGCACCCACACCTGGCTAGCTCATGTGGCCGCCTCACACAGTTAAACGCCTCAGCCCCTAGAAAAGTTCCAAAGAGGATTTCAGCATCCAAGTCTGGATTTTAGCACAAAGAACAGGGTGGACTGCAACGCATCCACCACATCGACCATCCTCCAGAGTTGATCAAGGCGAGCCAAATCCCCAAGGACAACCTTCGGTAGCAAACCATGTAACGCCTCCACAACCAAGAAATAGACAAGACAGTAAGTACCATATGGCTCCTGCCAAGCCTGAACCTACCACCGAGATAAACGATGGTTCTAGTCACTGTGAAGACTGGCAATTTTCCTCCAGAAATCGAGTTTGTCTAGATTTTGACCTAGCCAGAAAGCCGGCCTTGCTCTCTGTCGAGCCCCGGGGAAACTATTTAGTGACAGTCTAAATATTACATTATTCTTTAAAAATTCACTTAATTTCAATTTAATGAGTTTAATATGTAAGGATCAATATATCGTTTTACGTCGTTTGTTATGCATATTAAAATATGTTTGCATGTTTTCATCGGAGAACTAGGGAATAGTTATTTTATAACTTCAACAAAAATCGTAATAAAAGTTAAAAGTATTCAATATAACTACTGCTATAAAAAATAAATAATTGTTACGTACGGAATGATAGCAACAGCTGGCAGAGAAGGCTCATTGCACCAGTCATCGTAAATGTCTATCTACGATCGCTTCTGGTGATTATGACTCTTACAAAAATTTTCTCTTTGCAATTAGAAGTAATAAATCTACGATACCCAATTAGAGCAACGTAGATTTTAACAATGTAAGATCAAAAGAAATTGTATTTATGTGAGAGAGACATGACAGCTAATAAAATATAACAATTCATATGGTCCATATTTATTTAATTTTCATTTGCAAATATGACATGTACCCTTTTATAGAGACAATGAAGCATATGTTTCGATGGAATTCTGCTACGCATCTGGTTTATAGCTGACAGAACAAATGCAAAAAAAAGCCGAACAATGTTCTGTTAGAGTTGAATGTCAGATGAAAAAGTGATGTTTAATTCACATTTCTGCTTCACAGACGAGGCATATACAACTCTAATGAATTCGCATTCAACAATTGGATGCATATTGCATTATCAAAGTAGAGATGAAAAAAAAAACATCTGCATCTTTTTGTTTCAGTTCGTTTGAGCTGTCTATACACTTGTTATTTCTTAAGTGAAGAAGTGCTTTTCATTGCCATTCTCTCTTTCTTCTTGTCTAGAGTAAATAAAACACATATGGCAGGAATGGAACAATGTGTATCTCACAGAGTTAAATTTCAGTTAGGCACACTTAGCACTAAAGGGATAGATCACCAGAGGAAGGGGATCCCAGTCCTGGCATGCTCGTGGCAGTCACGGTTAATAAATACCCCAACCTCTAGAAGCGATCCGAAGAGGTGCCACCCTCCCTCCGTTAACATAGAGGGATTTTAAATGTTACACTCGTACAGGAAATGAACTCAAGCACACATTAAAGAGACATATCACAAGAGGAAGGGGATCCTATAGCTGGCATGCTCGAGGAATCATTAACATGGTAATAAATATCCCAACCTCCAGAGGCGATCCGAAGAGGCTTCACCCCTCTCCGTCAATCTACAGGGATTTTAAATTTTACACTCAACTCAAGCACACACTAAAGAGACAGATCACTAGACGAAGGGGATCCCAGACCTGGAAATGAACTTAACACCAACTAAAGAGACAGATCACCAGAGGAAGGTGATTCCAGATTTGAAGGTGATTCCAGATGCTCGAGGCAGCCTTAACACGGTTAATAAATACCCCAACCTCTAGAGGCGATCCGAAGAGGCGTCACCCTTCTCCGTCAACCTAGAGGGATTTTAAATGTTGCACTCGTACAGGAAATGAACTCATGCACACACTAAACAGACATAGCACTAGAGGTAGGGTATCCTAGACCTGGCATGCTCGAGGCAGCCATAACACGGTCAATAAATACCCCAACCTCCAGAGGCGACCCAAAGAGGCGCCAACCCCCTCCGTCAATCCAGAGGGATTTTAAATGTTACACTCGCACTGGAAATGAACTCAACACAGTGGTGGACGGCTAGCCTCCACCGAAAATAAACAAATTCACAAGGTTGATATTGTCCATCTCTCAGTCTTGACCAAAGTCAGAAACAAATCATGTTTTTACGCTCTTAACTATCAGAAACGAAAAGTGATTTGTGAAATTGAATGTAAAGGTGACAAAGGTCATTTCCAAGAATTAACATTTCATGTTGGAAATATAGTTTTTAGCATTTACTACAAGTACTCATTTTATTTAGGAAATAGCTTGGAATGCTCCTAAAAATAGCTACATAATATAACTACATGCGTTTTAAAATTTTAAGAATGTTAAAAAATTTGAATATATGTCATATATCGAGGTATATACAGTGGTGGCCGAAATTGTGGACACTTTTGGAAATTTTTATGTTTTTAAACTTTGTATAGAAAACGTTACGTTTCAAAAAATGCAAAATTGTATACATCATTTTAAAGAGAATTTATTACTGAATTCAATACAAAACACAAAATTCATTATTTGCAATACAAAAAAGTAAACGATATAGTTATCGATATACATTAGATATGATGATTGCAGTGAGTTATCAGTACTTAGTAGGGTAACCTTTATTTTTATTACAGCTTCACAATCGACCCTTTATTGAGCTGACAAGAGTTTTTAAGCTTCCTTAGTTATTACATGATGCCAGAAGAAACAATTATAGCCTCAATTAGTTCTCTTTTGTTTGATGGGCGCCTCATTCGGACAAGAGTTTTCAAACGGTGCCAAATTTTCGATAGGATTGAGGTGAAGACAACAGTCTTCACCTCAATCCTATCGAAAATTTGTGGCACCGTTTGTGAAATGATAGCATAAATTGGCCATGACAACAATTTAATGCTCTTTGTACGAAACCACTCTTTCGATATTTTGGCCGTGTGGCAAGGAGCAGAATCCTGCTGAAAAATAACTAAGCATTGTTGGAAAAGAGATCTCTGATGGAAGGTAGAAGTTTTGGTTCTAGAATAGTGTCAATGTATTTTCTGGCATTCAGTGTCCCATCGATGATATGAAGGCGACCAATACCTTCATGTCATGACATGCATGACCAAATCATAACACTAACTGGGTTCTTTACAGTTGCTTGAATGCAGTCAGGATGTAGCTCTTCTCCTATTCTACGTCTTACATATTTTCGCCCATCACTACCGAATAACGATATCTTAGTTTCATCACTCCATATAACTTGCGACCACTGATCATCTGTCCATTAATGTGTTCCTTTGCCAAGGTAGTCTTTTTTTCGTTGCTGAAAATTAAGATAAGGCTTTTTTCGTGGAATTCTACCTCTCAGTCCACATCTGTTAATCTTCTCCTGATTGTTCTTGAACTGAGAGAAAAAACACAGCATCATTCAAATCACTTCTGATGGCCGCTGATGACATTTTTCTATCTTGGAGACATAGTCTTTTTATTCTTCTGTCATTCATAGATGTGGTGCACCTTTTTCGGCCTTTTCCTTCTTTGTTTTTATTGAATTTGTCTCTTGATATAGTAAACAAAACTTTCGGACTCCAGATGTAGTCACTGAACGACCCACCTGTCTTGTAATTTCAGCATAGGAAAGACCAATTTCTCGTAACACAATAATATTACATCTCTTTCTAAGTGTCCAATCTATTCTTTTATTTGATGTCATAGCTTCTTGACTAAATATTAAAAATTTTTACAAACATTCGTACTTGCAATTGCAGTGTATAAGAAACAGGTCCTCCTTCTACAGAACAAAGCAAAATAATGAATTGTTTCAAGTGTAAACATGATGTCAGCTTCTACTGGCAGTTACTAACATTTGATTGGTTCTCAGAACAAGAACAGTGATTGGCCAGGAAAGCTAGACATTACAAACCACTTCATAAGTCTGTTTTTTATTTATATTAGTGTACGTATAACTTTTTTGTATTGCAAATAATTGAATTTTGTGTTTTGTATTAAATTCAGTAATAAATTCTCTTTAAAATGATATATAAAAGTTAGCATTTTGCGAAACGTAACATTTTCTATAAGCGTACGAAGTTCAAAAACATAAAAATTTCCAAAACTGTCCACAATTTTGGCCACCACTGTATGTAAAGGGTTCCACCAGCGGCCGAGAGGCAATGTCGCTGAACACTGGTAGTTCGATCCGGGGTTCGTGTCCCGGCGAACGGCTGGCTGCATGATCCTTTTCATGGTTTTCCCTATCTGTAACATGTATACGAGCCACTTAAAAAATCTTCCACGAAATCATTCCTCCCTCAAGGCAAATAGAACCAGAGTGCTTTGCCTTAATCAAATAAACTGAACCATACACAAGTAAAGGATACCGGTGGGAAATTATCTGCGAATATCGATTGCAAAATGTTAGTATAATTCAGTGCTCTGGTAATGCACATGCCAACTAAAAAAGCAGTTTTCCTTAAAAATTATTAAATGTCACTCGTAATAATACGTATTAGTACAGTTTATTTGGGGCTTACAGAAAATAAAATTGCTATTATTATATCGAATTTTTTCTGTGCTGCTGATTACAGACTGCTGATGCAATTTTTAAAAGATTTCACACAATCTTCAGAAGAGTTATATTTCTACACATTCAATTTTGCATTAACACATGCTTGATGCCAAACAACAATTATCATATACAGTTTGTCTGTTAGCTGTAAAGTATTTCGGAAACGAAACAAAATCTCTTCAGTAATTATACAAGTAAATATATAGGTATAGTTATGAATGAAATGAGACACCAGCGGTCATCAGTTGACGTTTTTTGCTCAATTCTCGCTAATTAATTTAGGAAACGCTTACAGAATACGGTACATAAAATACAAAACATTAACATAATATTTGTAAGAAATTTTAAAGGTATGTTCCATAAAATTTCAGAGGCTATGTATGTATAGAAAGATTAGTAACTACAGCAGTTCCTTTAGAGTAAGATAACTCTTGGCTTCTCTGCTTTTCGTGACTCCGTAAGTCCGTACTACAGATCCAACTCTCCCTCGGGTCCAGACGTGCAGGTTCAGCCTCCGTTCTGATCTTTCAGAGGGGCCGGCGCACCACCTGGAATTCACCAGGCAGCACTGGTCGTTAATTTGCTACCTGCCAGTCACTCGGGCGAGCCCGTCGCAGTGGGTCATTACCCAGCAAACCGGGCAGTCACCCCCCGGCTACCAGAGCCGTACCGTTCAGGACATGCCAGACCCCGAGGCCGGCCAATGAGTGACCTTTCCCAGAGCCTTCAGAACCGCCAAGTTCATACATTTTATACTCCCGTGGCCGATATTGCCTAGGTACAGATCCTAGCCAGTAGCTTCGCAGAGTTCTCTACGTCGACTCCCGGGGGATTCCCTTAGAGTAAAATGATATAAAACGAAGCGTAGAACATAATAGGGAAGATAAAGACAGCAGTCTTTTTAAATATTCCAGAGTTTGTGCAACGCAAAAAATAGGAATAGTGCAAATTCACAGGACACAGAGTTAAAGTTATACTATGAAGGAATGAAGTAGTTTCTACAAAGGTTAATAAATGTTTGCCAATAATTCAGGGAATTTATGAAAATGTTTATTACCGTTTAGACATGCCACAAGTCGATGTTAGCTTTGAAAATCTTTAAAATAACATATTTTGGGTAAAGCTGGGAGTTTTAATTATGTATTTCAGGTAAGAGTTATACTTATTTGTTGGCAGTTCTGGATGAAAATTCTTTATGATGGAACTAAATAGGAATG